CGACAGACTGCAGGATCTCCACACACTCCACACACTCCACACACTCCACCGGCCTGACATGAGCCTCGCTCACGCCCCCTACAGGTACATCACACACACCTCATCTTCCCCCTCAGTGTTTCTGTCTGGTTTTCCAGCACTAAAATCTAAACATTCTTAAATCAAGATGCATTTACTGGAGAAGAAGCAGAACTGCTGAAGATATGAAGTCTTGTTTACTGAAAAATGAACTGAGTTTGTGTTTAAAACAAGAACAAATATCTGTCAGTGAAGTCAGAAAAATAATCTTGTTTTCTGTTTGAATAAAGTTCATTTTTCTGATCACATTGGCAGATATTTGTTCTTGTTTTAAGTACAAACTCACTTTATTTTTCGGACACCAAGACACGTCATTATTAAGACACGAGTGATTGGTGTGTTGAAGGATGGGTTATGTTTCCGCAGTGTCGTCTTCCACCTGGGTTTCTCAGCGGAGGAGCTGATTGGTCGATCGTGGTACGGCCTCCTGCACCCTGATGACATCACGCTCGCCGCCCGCTGCCACACGACACTCCGTGAGTCACACCAACAGGAACAAACAAACACTTTTATTCTGCAAGGACGCATTAAATAGATCAAAAGTGACAGTAAAGACATTTATATGTTACAAAAGATTCTGTTTCAAATAAATCTGTTCTATTCAACTTTCTATTCATCAAAGAATCCTGAAAAATAAAACATATCACTGTTTCCACAAAAATATGAATCATAATGATATTCATAAATGTTTCTTGAGCATCAGATCCTCATATTAGAGTGATTTCTGAAGGATCATGTGACACTGAAGACTGGAGTAATGATGCTGAAAATACAGCTTTGATGACAGGAATAAATTACCCTTTACGGTAACACTTTATAATAACTGCATGCTAATAATCATTAGTTAAGCATGAGTAAACAGTTAATTCATCATTTATAAAGCATTAATAGACATTAATAAGCAGTTTATAAATACAGCTATACATGCTTTTCTTCTTGATTTATAAGCATATTTATAATGCGTTTAATAATTGTATTTTCATACCTTGTTAATGATCAATTAATAATTTCTAAATGAAGTATAGCATTATTTACAAACAAGAGTTGTCAGTCATTCATAAGATCACTTAGAAAGTGTAAGTAAATGTAGTAAATACAGGTAGTTATAAAGCATTTAGTAGTGGTCAGTTAACTATTTTGTGAGCTCATCTAAAGTGAGGACTATTCATGCCTTGTAAAGCATTTATAAAGGAGATTTGAAGGCGCATCAATCTTCTAAACAGTAAAATGTAACAAACACAACACAGTGATGCAGAACATAGAAATATTTAACAGCCTTTAAATCTCCTTTATAAATGCTTTACAAGGCATGAATAGTCCTCACTTTAGATGAGCTCACAAACATAGTTAACTGACCACTACTAAATGCTTTATAACTACCCGAATTAACCCTGAATTACAGCATAAATACATGTTAATAAAGCATTTATTAACACACTAAGTAACCATCACTATATGTCTGAATAATAAGATGTATGAATGTACATTTAAATAGTTTATTAATCATTTACTTACACATTCTAAGTAATCTTATGAACCACTGAAAACTCTTAAATAACTGGTTTATAAAAAATGCAATTATTCATTTAGAAATAATAAATTGATCATTAATAAAGGATGAAAATACAAGTATTAAATAAATTATAGATATGCTTGTAAATCAAGAAGAAAGCATTTATAGCTGTATTTATAAACTGCTTATTAATGTCTATTAATGCTTTATGAATGATGAATTAACTGTTTACTCATGCTTAACTAATGATTATTAGCGTGTAGTTATTATAAAGTGTTACCCACTTTACTGTATATTCACATAGAAAACACTGGCATAATATTTCAGTTTTTAATGCATTTTTGATCAAATAAATGAGCAGAAGAGACTCTTTCACAAACATTAAAGCCCAAACCTTTGAGCCGCTGTGATGTAATGATCAGCCGATGTTCTGCACGGATGATGTACTGACCCGATCTGGTTCTGCAGTGCGAGAGGAAGGCGACACACACACACAGATGCTGGTCCGACTGCAGCACAGGGATCTGTCCTGGGTCTGGATCTACGCTTGTGCAACTATAGGAGCAGCCAAAGAGTCGATCTCCTGCACGAGCCACGTCATCAGGTGAACATCTTCATCCTCATCCTCATCTTCATCCTCATCTTCATCCTCATCTTCATCCTCATCCTCATCTTCATCCTCATCCTCATCTTCATCCTAATCCTAATCCTCATCCTCATCTTCATCCTCATCTTCATCCTCATCCTCATCTTCATCCTCATCTTCATCCTCATCCTCATCTTCATCCTCATCTTCATCCTCATCCTCATCTTCATCTTCATCCTCATCTTCATCCTCATCTTCATCCTAATCCTCATCTTCACCTTTATTCTCATCTTCATCCTCCTCTTCATCCTCATCTTCATCCTCATCCTCATCCTCATCTTCATCTTCATCCTCGTCTTCATCTTCTCCTGCTTGCTTTACTCACACAGCATTAGTTTATTTTATTTGTTCTTCATCTTCATCCTCATCTTCATCCTCATCTTCATCATCATCTTCATCCTCATCTTCATCTTCTCTTGCTTGCTTTACTCACACAGCATTAGTTTATTTTATTTGTTCTTCATCTTCATCCTCATCTTTTTCTTCATCATCATCTTCATCCTCATCTTCATCTTCTCCTGCTTGCTTTACTCACACAGCATTAGTTTAGTTTAGTTTATTTGTATAGCAAATTTAAAAACAACGTGAGCTGGCTAAAGTTGTCACGTTGTTTTTTAAAGTTCTTTCCGTTAAAACAATATTACAACAGCATATTATAGCCAAAAATACAAACAACATTATTACACTGTGGAATACTTGATTCTGATTGGTCAATAGTGCCATCCAGTGGTGAGTTATTCCCAGATAACAGCAGAAACACAGGCTCATCCGGTCACTGAAGTCAGCAGCGCTACACACTCGCTAGGAACGCTCTTTCTTCGTGGAAGTTTTGCTTTTGTGAGCTAATAAAATATTAAAACTCTGTCAAATCAATATTTTGTGTACAGTTATTTAATTATGTCATCCAGTATCGTGGACTCGTGGCTCTCTCTTGTTTAATACAAACGCAGCGGCGGCCATTTTGTGACTATTGTTTTGTACACTGTCGAATTATGAGATACAAACAGGTACGATTTTAAAACAGTTTAATCTGAAATCAATATCTCTGATCTCCATAATTATTTATGTAGTGAAATGCTGTGTAATAAGTGTTATGACTGTATACCGTATCTCTTAAATGTCCGTCTAGTTTGATCTTGCCGCTGAAACGGCAAAATGTGGAAAAAGTGAAGCGCTGTGAATACATTCCGGATGCACTGTACACTCCACTACTAGCTCAGCCATAAGCCTGGGCAAGTACTAAATACGCCCTCAGAAGCACCCAATGTAGTACAACATCTAATATCCGAAGGCAGGTTCTTTCAGAGGCGGGTGCAGCAACTGAAAGGCACAACCCCCTGTGGACTTTAGCTGAGATTTAGGGATCTTTAAAAGGGATGTTTGAGATGACCAATATATATATATATATAAATAAAAATTCTGTACCATCCATAGTTTAATTTCTCTCAAGCAATTCATCAAAGAATTTAATGCAGTGCCATCATCTGCCTTCAATGGAAGATATAGTTGAGTATCATCTGCATAACAATGATACGCAACATTATATTTTTGACAAATAAAGCTGAGTGGTAACCTGTACAAAGAAAACAATATAGGCCCCAGAATTGAGCCCTGTGGAACCCCACAAGGACTGATTACAGAATCTGAGGAATGATTACCCAATTGTACTACAGAGCTTCTATCCTGTAAGTAAGAAGAAATGTGAAAGATGAGATGTGTGTGTGTCTCAGTAACTCATGGTCTTCCGTCTGCAGTGAAATGGAGGCCGTCTATCTCAAACACAAGCTGTACGGCAGCACTCCGGTGTCTCCGGGTCCGACGGCAGGAGAGATGCGGATCAAGACCGGGAGCAGCTCGGAGACCGGCTTCTTCCCCACGCCGCCCTACAGCCCCACTTCCTGCCACTCCTCCGACTTCCTGTCTGACGACTTCAGTGCTCTGGAGCAGCTGGTGAGCGACTCGCGCTTCTGCCCGCCAGCGTTCGCTGCGTCTCATCCGTACAGCGCCACCGCTCCTGCTGTGTGTGTGCCGGACTCTCACCTGGTGCCTGTGTGTGTGCCGGACTCTCACCGAGTGCCCGTGTGTGTGCCGGACTCTCACCGAGTGCCCGTGTGTGTGCCGGACTCTCACCGAGTGCCCGTGTGTGTGCCGGACTCTCACCGAGTGCCCGTGTGTGTGCCAGACTCTCACCGGGTGCCCGTGTGTGTGCCAGACTCTCACCGGGTGCCCGTGTGTGTGCCGGACTCTCACCGAGTGCCCGTGTGTGTGCCGAACTCTCACCGGGTGCCCGTGTGTGTGCCGGACTCTCACCGAGTGCCCGTGTGTGTGCCGGACTCTCACCGAGTGCCCGTGTGTGTACCAGACTCTCACCGGGTGCCCGTGTGTGTACCGGTGCTGGACACGAGCGAGATCCCGGAGCACTTCCTGTTCGGGCCGGATCTGACGCCGGAGCCCTCGCCCTCTGCGGACACACACACACACTTCCTCTACGGCCCGCCGGACTCCGGCACACTGGACACACATGCACACTCGCTGGCCCATCAGATCCGCTCGCTGGACACACACTGGCCACTGCTGGACGAGACAGTGATCGACGGGATCCTGCGGGATCTGGACGCGATCAGACCTTTGGGGTGTGTGTGTGACGGGCTTGTGATCAGACACTCGGGGTGTGTGTGTGACGGGGTTGCGGTCAGACACTTGGGGTGTGTGTGTGACGGCCCCTCACAGCTCCAGCACTGCCTGTACACCGCCATACAGTAGATCCGGTCATGTGACGCTTACGGATGAATACACACAACTGAAGTCCGTGACTTACTCTAGTAACCCAGTATGGCATATTGCCATGGCAACCAGTGGCTGGTTTCCGTGGAGATTTGATGAGGTGTTGGTGAGAACAGGTTTCTCGTCATTTCTCAAGAATAATTTATAAAGCTGCAGTGTTTTATGTGAATTGTTTTAAGTTTTAACATTTACCACTACACCTCAAATGATTTGAAAAATATGCTGATGGGGTCATTAAAGTAATCTTGATTTCGAATTTTAATATTCTGACTCCATTGGCAGATATTTGTTCTTATTTTAAACAGTTTTTCAAGACTTAATATCTTCAGTCATTCTGCTTCTCCAGTAAATGTATCTTGATTTAACGGTGTTTAGATATTGTTCTTGTAACGATTCAATAATAAGCTGCACTGAACTGAATCTACCTCATCAAATCACTGTATTTATTTTCTGTACTTTACAGAAATCTCACTCCACGAATGAATGTAAAGCTTCTCTCGCCATCTGTCAGAATAATCTATAATGTTTAGAGCTTATTTATATATTCTTGCTCTGTTTCTATTTTTGTATGCAATGTCAATAAAGTTAAGAGAAGTAAAACTGTGGTCTGTTTAGTCATAATAAGTGACACAATCCTCACCCTGATCTCTCATTAAGATCCTGTTTAATCATGATGTTTATAATATTTTCATGTCTTATATTTGCATTTATTAGGTTAGAGCTGGACAATAATAGTTACGTTTTGCAACAAAATAAAAACTCCTGTGTGGTCATAGCAGGCAGTGCCTCCATCCCCCCCATCCCCACATCCCCACATCCCCACATCCCCATCCCCTCCATCCCCTCCATCCCCACATCTCCATCCCCCTCCCCATCCCCTCCATCCCCACATCCCCATTCCCCACTTCCCCATCCCCTCCATCCCCACATCTCCATCCCACATCCCCATCCCCCCCATCCCCACTTCCCCATCCCCTCCATCCCCACATCTCCATCTCCCCATCCCCACATCCCCATCCCCCCCATCCCCACTTCCCCATCCCCACATCCCCATCCCCACATCCCCTCTATCCCCACATCTCCATCCCCACATCCCAATCCCCATCCCCATCCCCACATCTCCATCCCCTCCATCCCCACATCTCCATCCCCTCCATCCCCACATCCCCATCCCCACATCCCCATTCCCATCCCCATCCCCCCATCCCCACATCCCCATCCCCCTCCCCATCCCCTCCATCCCCACATCCCCTCCATCCCCACATCCCCATCCCCACATTCACCCGCCAGTGGGGCGGATAGCCTTTTGAGATTTACTCGCCAAACGGAAAATCTACCCGCATTTGGCGCTTGGCGGGTGTTAATTTCGGACCCTGCCCACATCCCCATCCCGTCCATCCCCACATCCCATCCCCTCCATCCCCACATCCCCTCCATCCCCACATCCCCATCCCCTCCATCCCCACATCCCCATCCCCACATCCCCATCCCCACATCCCCATCCCCTCCATCCCCATCCCCACATCCCCATCCCCTCCATCCCCATCCCCATATCCCCATCCCCACATCCACATCCCCATCCCCACATCCCCATTCCCTCCATCCCCACATCCCCTCCATCCCCCCATCCCCTCCATTCCCACATCCCCATTCCCTCCATCCCCATTCCCTCCATCCCCATCCCCTCCATCCCCACATCCCCATACCCCCCGTCCCCTCCATCCCCACTTCCCCATCCCCTCCATCCCCACATCCCCATCCCCTCCATCCCCACATCCCCTCTATCCCCACATCCCCATCCCCTCCATCGCCACATCCCCATCCCCTCCATCCCCACATCCCCATTCCCTCCATCCCCATCCCCTCCATCCCCACATCCCCATACCGCACATCCCCATACCCCCCATCCTCTACATCCCCACATCCCCATCCCCTACATCCCCACATCCCCATCCCCTCCATCCCCACATCCACATCCCCTCCATCCCCACATCCACATCCCCATCCCCTCCATCCCCACATCCCCATCCCCTCTATCCCCACATCCCCATCCCCACATCCCCATCCCCTCCATCCCCACATCCCCATCCCCACATCCCCATCCCCTCCATCCCCACATCCCCATCCCCACATCCCCATCCCATCCATCCCCACATCCCCATCCCCTCCATCCCCACATCCCCTCCATCCCCACATCCCCATCCCCACATCCCCATTCCCTCCATCCCACATCCCCATCCCCTCTATCCCCACATCTCCATCCCCACATCCCCATCCCCTCTATCCCCACATCCCCATCCCCTCTATCCCCACATCCCCATCCCCACATCTCCATCCCCACATCTCCATCCCCACATCCCCATCCCCTCCATCCCACATCCCTATTCCCACATCCCCACATCCCCATCCCCTCCATCCCCACATCCCCATCCCCTCCATCCCACATCCCTATTCCCACATCCCCACATCCCCATCCCCTCCATCCCCACATCCCCATCCCCACATCCCTATTCCCACATCCCTATTCCCACATCCCTATTCCCACATCCCCATTCCCACATCCCCATCCCCTCCATCCCCACATCTCCATCCTCACATCTCCATCCCCACATCTCCATCCCCACATCTCCATCCCCACATCCCCATCCCCTCCATCCCAACCTCCCCACATCCCCATCCCCTCCATCCCCACATCCCCACATCCCCATCCCCATCCCCTCCATCCCCACATCTCCATCCCCACATCTCCATCCCCACATCTCCATCCCCACATCTCCATCCCCACATCTCCATCCCCACATCTCCATCCCCACATCTCCATCCCCACATCTCCATCCCCACATCTCCATCCCCTCCATCCCCACATCCCCACATCCCCATCCCCTCCATCCCCACATCCCCATCCCCTCCATCCCCACATCCCCATCCCCTCCATCCCCACATCCCCATCCCCTCCATCCCCACATCCCCATCCCCACATCCCCATCCCCTCCATCCCCATCTCCACATCCACATCCCCATTTCCTCCATCCCCACATCCCCATCCCCTCCATCCCCACATCTCCATCCCCACATCTCCATCCCCACATCCCCATCCCCACATCTCCATCCCCATGCCCTCCATCCCACATCCCTATTCCCACATCCCCACATCCCCATCCCCTCCATCCCCACATCCCCATCCCCACATCCCTATTCCCACATCCCCATCCCCTCCATCCCCACATCTCCATCCCCACATCTCCAGTTGTCAAGCCCCTCCTGAAAAAGAGCAATCTGGATAAGACCATCTTAAGCAACTATTGACCGATCTCAAATCTTCCTTTCATAGGCAAGATCATTGAAAAAGTTGTCTTCAATCAGCTGAACAAATTCTTAAGCTTGAATGGATATTTTGACAATTTTCAATCTGGTTTCCGACCGCATCACAGCACAGAGACAGCGCTCATAAAGATAATAAACCATATTCGCTTAAATACTGATACAGGGAAATTATCAGTACTGGTACTACTCGACCTCAGTGCTGCATTTGACACTGTCGATCACAACATACTCCTTGACAGGCTGGAAAACTGGGTGGGGCTTTCTGGGATAGTCCTAAAATGGTTCAGGTCATACTTAGAAGGGAGAGGTTATTATGTGAGTATAGGAGACCATAAGTCTGAGTGGACATCCATGACATGCGGAGTCCCTCAAGGCTCAATTCTTGCGCCACTCCTATTCAACCTGTATATGCTCCCAATGAGCCAAATAATGAGAAAGAACCAAATTGCTTACCACAGCTATGCAGACGACACACAGCTCTACTTAGCCCTAACGACTACAGCCCCATTGACTCCCAGTGCCAATGCATTGATGAAGTCAACAGTTGGATGTGCCAAAACTTTCTTCAGTTAAACAAAGACAAAACTGAAGTCATTCCGTTTGGAAACAAAGATGAAGTTCTCAAGGTGAATGCATACCTTCACGCTAGAGGTCAAACAACTAAAAATCAAGTCAGGAATCTTGGTGTGTCTCTAGAGTCAGAACTTAGTTTCAGTAGTCATGTCAAAGCAATAACTAAATCAGCATATTATCATCTGAAAAATATTGCAAGAATTAGATGTTTTGTTTCCAGTCAAGACTTAGAGAAACTTGTGCATTCTTTTATCACCAGCAGGGTGGATTATTGTAATGGACTCCTCACTGGGCTTCCTAAAAACACCATAAGACAGTTGCAGCTCATACAGAACGCAGAGCAGAACCAGAATATATGAACACAACACACCAGTCCTCGGGTCTTTACACTGGCTCCGCGTTACATTTAGGATTGATTTTAAAGTATTATTACTGGTATATAAATCATTCAATGGGCTAGGACCTCAATACATTGCAGATATGCTCACTGAATATAAACCCAACAGATCACTCAGATCATTAGGATCACATCAGCTAGAAATACCAAGGGTTCACTCTAAGCATGGAGAGTCCGCTTTTAGCTATTATGCTGGAACAGCTTCCAGAGGAGATCAGATGTGCTGGAACAGCTTCCGGAGGAGATCAGATGTGCTGGAACAGCTTCCGGAAGAGGTCAGATGTGCTGGAACAGCTTCCAGAGGAGATCAGATGAGCTGGAACAGCTTCCAGAGGAGATCAGATGTGCTGGAACAGCTTCCAGAGGAGATCAGATGAGCTGGAACAGCTTCCAGAGGAGATCAGATGAGCTGGAACAGCTTCCGGAGGAGATCAGATGTGCTGGAACAGCTTCCAGAGGAGATCAGATGAGCTGGAACAGCTTCCAGAGGAGATCAGATGAGCTGGAACAGCTTCCGGAGGAGATCAGATGTGCTGGAACAGCTTCCAGAGGAGATCAGATGAGCTGGAACAGCTTCCGGAGGAGATCAGATGAGCTGGAACAGCTTCCGGAGGAGATCAGATGTGCTGGGACAGCTTCCGGAGGAGATCAGATAAGCTGGAACAGCTTCCGGAGGAGATCAGAT